ATAAAAACAACAAGTAAAAGTCTAAGTTGATTTTTCTCGTTTGGTATAGCTACGTTTTCACAAAATCGATTATTCGCCTTCTGCAATGTGTTCACAGTATCCACTGTAACACATATAAGAATTATCGGATTTACCTAGATTTTGGATGTGCTCTTCTCCATAGTCCATTCTAAATGTAAATAACATAGTTACTTTTTGTAGAGCAAATTAGAAAGGTGGGGAACAATACATGTTTCACTAGCTAATTTATTAATTATTCAGCAGCGCATTAGTAAGGTGCCTAATTATACACTATATATACATACTTACATTTGTTCTATTGTAATTATTTATTCTGCTAGAAAGAGGAACATGCAAAGATGACTAGAAGGTTATCTGATTGGACCAGACATTATTAATAATGCTAATCAATACATTTTTAGTTTTTTAATTATGTAATAAACATACAAAGAAATTAATTATGCATTCACAAGAAAGATTTAATTTATTTATAAACAGCGTTTAAGGAATTAACATTAAGGACATGCTAAGCAATGGCATTGAACGGCAATGAATACACAATCATTATTTTATTTAAAAATTGTAACATCTCCACTTGAGAAATTGGCTTTAAATATGCAATTCCTCATGATAATGAGCACGCATAGGAACTTGAATTTCTCCAACATTGTCAATTTAATGGTAATAGCCTCAGAGTAAGAATTTCTTACTCTGAGGTAATAGCTCATAGCGTGTTCTATATACCGCGGCAAAGGCAATGGTGTAGTGTAGGTTTAGGCTGACAAGTTGTTTATGAAATCACTCCGCTACAGTTAACATGATAAACTCACTTGTGCTCACTTTAGAGACAACATTTATACTTTTTTGCTCTCTATAGGTACAGAGTTTGCATCATTTGTGTGCATCCGCACCATTGTTTTCCCTGGAAACATCGGACTACCCGTACTCAAGAAGGTATAGTTCTATACGCCTTTTTTTGTGAGCAAAAATGAGCTATTATTACATTCGTATTATTGAATTCTTCCTGCGTCGCGTGGTTTGAAGGCTATACTAACCACGTGTCTTGTGGTCAAATGTATATTCTTATTTTACAAAATATAGGTAAGTGAAAAACGAAAAAAAATTCGAACATCTTGGGTTTTTTGATCAAGTTAGCACACTGTCTTCGAGATCGAAAACTTATAGGGTAGACATTCTGGTGTAGTACGTACCCACCAACAACCTGTCAAATTCGCGATTGCTCATGTATATAATACTTTGCCAGCAGATGTAAAATGTTATGTACCAGATAAATTCAAAGTTAGTGTTCGTCGACTCCTGCTAAAAACATCCTAAAAACATAATAAATATGTAAAATATTTCCGTGTTAAAAACAATTAACAGCTTACTTTGTAAACCACATCTTAATTGTCAAATTCTTGTTTCTTGAGTTTTAAATGTACTACTCCATTTGTTGTTTCACTTTTTGTATGTATCATGACCTGCCTAGTTAAATACACTAACATAAAATAAATTAAAGGTTGAGTGGAAGAGCAGACACGGATGATATCCCTGTCTGAACTCCGCCATTTAGACAGGCTCTGTATAGAAATTGTCTATTAAAGTCATTTATTATTATTATTATTATTATCGGTGTTTCTTGTGAGAACTCAGGTCTAGCCTGGTTAACTAATCGCACGGATTAAAATCAAGTAACGATTAGTGTCTGTGTCTGTGTCTGGTGAAGTTATGTAGGGTCCTTAAAAAAAAAAAAAAATCACACACGTACATTGGACATCTAGGGATAGTATGTAATTCGTACTTACCAACATACCTATTGATGGGCACAATAGCCAACGCTATCAGGAAAGAGGAAAACAAAACAAAAAAAAATCATTATAATAATTCCTGTAATTTTATTAAATGGAGTTTATTGTGTAAGTGTTTCTTTGGCTTTGCGTTTGGGTTGAATACGAGTGGGTTGTGATAACGTGGTGTGCTTCTGTGAAGAAGGAGTTTTGTGTTTTTTAATTGTATTTATGGTGTTTCTTTGTTCCTGAGGTCGTATTTGTGAGGTTGCTTGGGTTTTTGGTGGAGATATTGCAGTATTTTGTGAGCCTGTGTTAAGGTTTTTGCGTTTCGGTTGTATACGAGTGGGTTGTTTCTGAGAAGAAGGAGTATTGTGTTTTTTAACTGTGCTAGGGCGTAACTTTATTGGATGGACCTGTCTTTGTAGTACATGTTGCGTTACTTGTGTTTATGGTGTTTCTTTGTTCTTGAGGTTGTATTTGTGAGGTTGCTTGGGTTATTGATGGAGATATTATATTACAGTATTTTGTGAGCTAGTAGTGCTGTATAGGTTTTTGCGTTTGGGTTGAATACGAGTGGGTTGTGATAACGTGGTGTGCTTCGGTGAAGAAGGAGTTATGTGTTTTTTAATTGTGCTAGGGCGTGTAACTTTATTGGGTGGACCTGTCTTTGTAGTGCATGTTGCGTTACTTGTATTTATGATGTTTCTTTGTTCTTGAGGTTGTATTTGTGAAGTTGCTTGGGTTTTTGGTGGAGATATTTTAGTATGTTGTGAGCCTGTAGTTCTGTTAAGGTTTTTGCGTTGCGGTTGAATACGAGTGGGTTGTGAAAATGTGGTGTGTTTCTGTGAAGAAGGAGTTTTGTGTTTTTTAAATGTGCTAGGGCGTGTAACTTTATTGGATGGACCTGTCTTTGTAGTGCATGTTGCGTTACTTGTATTTATGGTGTTTCTTTGTTCTTGAAGTATTTCTGTTGTTGCATGGGTTACTGGTGGAGACATTACAGTATTTTGTGAGCCTGTAGTGCTGTTAAGGTTGTTGCGTTTGGGTTGAGTACGAGTGGGTTGTGTTTGTGATAACGTGGTGTGTTTCTGAGAAGAAAGAGTATTGTGTTTTTTAGCTGTGCTAGGCCGTGTGGGTGAGGGCGTCTTTGTAGTGCGTGTTGCGTTACTTGTATTTATTGCGTTTGTTTGTTCAGGAAGTTGTGTTTGTGTGGTTGGTTGAGTTAAGTTTGGAAATATTACAGTATGTTGTGTGTCATGTTGTGAGTCTAAAGTGCTGTTTAGGCTTTTGCGTTTGGGTTGAATACTAATGGGTTGTGAGTAAATGTGGGTATTGTGTAATGAACGCGTGATATAGTTTACCTCTGTATGCTGTCCTGTCCGTTTCCATCTTCGTGATCTCCAGATACGTACCGAAAATGAATCCCTTCGTCCCATTTCATACGTCTTTTGGAGGTATCCTTTGCGCTGGTCCCATCCACAAGCGGTTGAGAAGCAGGCACAAAGGTCTCTTCATGGCGGTCCTCTTCAGGTATTATTATTATTATTATTATTATTATTATTATTATTATTATTATTATTATTATTCCATTCACTGGACTAATAATTTTATCTCAACATGATCTCAATGCGCAAGAAACGAATTTCATGCGCTTGTGGTGACCATATAGGTATTTTTCACAAAAGATGCAAGGTCAACTGTAAGTATCAGTAAATAATAGACCGTTAAAAGGTACAGTGTGGTTTTCATCGTAACCTTAGAAAATTTGCGCATGCATGTTCGGATTCGTCCGCACTTGATCGGCGTTTCTTACCAGGTTTGGCTATAATGTACATTCGGAACAGAACTACAACCAGAACAGAAGTAGTATTTGCACGTTACTCACGGTATTAAGAGTCTTCTTTACCCAAGCGCAACTTTTTTACATTATAGTATATAGACGATTATAGTTGCAAGAGACAAGATGGTATTTTTGCTTTGTCAACTCTGTCTTCGTCCTTAGTTAGTTTCCGCCGACACTGAGCAGCGGCGCCACTTGTTACACTGAAATTGTTGACTTACCGCCCGCCAAGATACAGACTTTATTTACAAAAAATATGATTTCATTTTTTGGGGTAATGTTTAGAAGGAACTTATCTAAAAAACTGTCGGTTTACTTTTTCCATAAATCGTCTTGATCGCGAGTAAAAAAATTAGAGTAAGAAAATTAGATTAGCGCAATAATCGGCGCAAAACAGCTAACCTTTAAACAATCGATATTCAGTTGCTATACACTTTAAAAAAAATAGTCCGAACATTTTGTAGATAAAGGTCTAAATTTATAAAATAGTTCTTTAAAAAAATTTTTTTTGAAAAACAACTAGTTTTTATGGCGGGCGCTCTTATGGAAATTTACATTGGATGCAGTGGGTACAGAAGACTCTTAATGTCAATATAATTAAGAAAGTTAACGATTATTTATTACTAGTTAATAACACATTACTCAATTCTACAATAGTCATTTAACTTAACATTGGACTGAGCAATAATCAATAGCGCACTGTGAATTTTGAATCGATTCGACTCAACTTTTGGCATTGGGTATTATATGGCTAAAGATATGCCCATATTGAATTTCATGCAATTCAGTTCATAACTAACGGAGATGTCATAGCGATCGGACATTTCTAAACAAAGTTATCGTTCACACGGACAGATAGAGGGACAGGCAGACAAAGGAACAGACGGACAGACCAACAGACAGACGACAGACAGCAATACAAAATTATAAACGATCTCTAGGATCGTTAATAAACGGCAAAATTGTAAAATTATGGAACATGTAAAAAACGGTTTTTTGGTTTTTTTACAATATCTTTTTTAGCAATAAACGCAGAAAAAATTCCTTCCTTGGTGCAAGCCTCGACACCATAACGAACCGAATAGCGAAAAAAGTAGAACAATAGCTCTTAAGATAAAGAACTAGTAGCGTCTCAACGCACGAGCGGACAGACGGACGGACAAAGTACAATAGGGCATTTTTTTTATTGTGGAAATGCGCCAAAAACGCCATATAGCGCCTTCTGCAACTTATGCTTTAATATACTATTCTCCCAGTTCAACGGAATTTAAATTAAACCAGATAAACGGGTTAAATGAGTTTGTATGAAATGTGCCTTAGTATGTAACTTGGTCTATAGTAATTTCGTCCTTTTGCAAACGTCACACGCCGTTGATGGTCTGTGGTCACACGTACAAAAACTAAAAAGGAAATTCCTACTTTGTTTTTATTTATGATTATGATAAATTAAATTTGTAATTTAATGTTGGTTTTAATTTCGTAGAGATTTGTACTACATGTTCCGCGTTACAGCTACCCTTCGCAATTTAAGCGACACAATGGAAAAGTGTCGCCATTTATCTAGATTACACGTTTTTAAGGAAAACGGTTATATAAATGGGAAATGGGTAACCTCAAAAGGTGCAGAATGCTTTAATGTTTTAAATCCGGCCAGTGGCGATGTAATTGCAACATTACCAGATATGAATGTCGAAGATGCACAGGATGCCATTGACGCTGCCGCTAATGCTTTCAAAACTTGGCGGTTTGTTACGCCTAAACAACGTTCTGAGCTTCTTCGCAAGTGGTTCAATTTACTTGAAGCGAACAAGGATGATATAGCCGAGATCATGACTGCGGAAAGTGGCAAACCATTAGGCGAAGCGAAAGTTGAGGTTACATACGGGAATTCTTTCATTGAATGGTTCTCAGAGGAAGCTAGAAGAATACATGGTGAAATCCTGACAAGCCCTTCTGTCGATAGAAATATCTTTTACGTTATGGAACCAATCGGGGTGGCAGCATTAATCACACCATGGAATTTCCCTCATGCCATGATCACCCGTAAAGCTGGCGCAGCCCTTGCTGCCGGTTGTACTTGTGTTGTTAAACCATCAGGGGACACTCCCCTAACAGCTTTAGCTTTAGCTCAATTAGCAGCTGATGCTGGCATACCCGCCGGTGTCTTTAATGTGCTAAGCAGCGAACATAAACATTCTCCCAGTATCGGAAAGCTCTTATGCGAGAGTCGCTCGGTTGCTGGTATATCTTTCACTGGTTCGACTACTGTTGGCAAGCTTTTATACAGTCAATGCGCAGCAGGCGTTAAAAGAATTGCCTTGGAATTAGGTGGAAACGCTCCTTTTATAGTTTTTAATTCGGCTAATATCCAGCAAGCTGTTAAAGGTGCAATGATAGCGAAGTATAGAAACTGTGGACAAGCATGTGTTGCCGCTAACAGAATTTTAGTTCAAGGCGATGTTTATGACAAGTTTGTTAATGAATTTGTAAAAGAAGTCAAAGCCTTAAAAATTGGAGCAGGAACTGAACCTGGCGTCAATGTTGGACCATTAATTAACAAAGCTCATTTTCAGAAAGTGTGCAGTCTTGTTGAAAATGCGGTTTGTAAAGGTGCTAAGGCCAGTGTGGGAGGTAAGCCTGCAACGTCCCATGGAGAACTATTCTATGAACCCACTGTACTTGTCGATGTCACGCCTGATATGAAGATTTATAACGAGGAAGTTTTCGGACCAGTCGCAACGCTTGTAAGGTTTTCTACTGAAGCAGAGGCATTAAATATTGCTAATGGAACTGAAAGTGGCTTAGCGGCATATTTTTATTCACAAGATATGTCCCAAATATTGAGAGTAGGGCGATTAATTGAAGCAGGTATGATTGGAATTAACGAAGGATTAATTTCAACTGCAGAAGCACCATTTGGTGGAGTAAAACAGTCTGGAATTGGACGCGAAGGTTCAAGACATGGACTTCAGGAGTATACTAATATCAAATACATCTGCTTGGGAGCATCTTAATTATGGAATAATTATTTTGCAATACTACAATTTTTAATGTGTAGAATATTATTCTTTGTTACAGCTTTCAGTGAAGCAATTACTACACTATTTCTAATTGTAATATGTACATGGGTGACTTTGACTGCTTTTTTAATTTGTTTCAGTAGTAGATGTCCTGAAATGGATGTTGTTTATTGTACATTTTTATGGAGCATTTATGATTATACTGGAGAACAAGTGGTTTCAAACCACAGCTTATTCAGGATGAACACACATGGTTATCTATTTAGTTTGCTTTAGTAAAACAATTCTTCATTCATATTTAACTGGGAAAATATATAAAAAATTATTTTATGTCAATATCTGCCACATAAATTGTAGTTTGCAAAAGAGATTTTTAATAGGTACTACTATTTTGAAAAGTATTAAGTGTTGATAGATTTTGTGCTGTTGAATTTCTTGTGAAATAGTGGATTACAGCAAATGTAACATTGTGTTGCCATGACATTTTTACTTGTCTTGTAGGTATTTTCCATATTATTTTAATTTTGGTATGTTTTGAAAAAAGCTATTTAACATTTTTACTACATTGAATATGATTTATGCATAACTAGTACGTACTAATTACGTTAATTTTATTTATGGATCCTATGACTGTGATTGACGTCAATATTCCAAGTATATAAGTGGGAATGTATGTTTGCTTATATAGATAGCAATATTTCTGAACATGTCTTCCAAAAGTCTTCCAATTTTATAGAATATTTATATACGTTACTGTTGAATAGATATTTTAGTATTAAGTAGTACAAGTACATAATATGATATATAAATACAGTGCATGTTTGTATGTAGTTTATCTTAGGACAAATCTGATTGGTTTTCACTTGAAAAGGTTTAGTTTGCACATTTTGACATCCACTTTATTGATATAGGTGTTTTGAAACTGATCAAATTTAATTATTTCAATCTAGTCATTATGCTTATAAGTCAAAAATGTTTTAATAGTTATTATTTCAACATTATGTATTTTGGTGAAAATAAAGAATAAATAAAAAACTAAAATTACTAGTTTTAGTATAAAAATCTATGAATTCAGTTAATAGAAGGAAGTTTCACACATAAGTAAGGTAATGTTTGTAGGCTAGCTATGCAATAGTTTTTCAAAATAGCAGCTTGTTGGTTCCTGGCTAAACGCAAATTAATAATTTGACAGAAGAAAAGCCTATTATATATTAGAAAAGGATTTCTAGGAATAACAGTTATCACTGTCTTCATCTGAAGGAACATGAGTCATCATTGGTGCTGTATCTTTCAAATAAGTCTAAGATGGAACAAAATGTGTGTAGTGATTTCCCTAAACACAAATTCTAGATTTAAAGTTTAGGAATAGAAAAACCTACCATGTGAAGTAAATTGTAATGGTAGTTTTTAACGGCCTACTAATCATCGAAACACTGGTAATTTTTAAAAATGGTTGAATTACAACAAATATGTAAAAGATACCAACAAGCTTATATCGAAATTATGCTCTGTCGGTGGCTCGTGCTATCCCATTTTTCATTTTGTAGCGCAGTGTCTGGCCCTTGTCTATTTAAGTTTCTTGAGAGGAGAATACTAATTACCTATGCAAAATTCATGTGTTCGTTAAATTTACGGAATTATAGGAGATTTAAAAGGGTGTCTCACAAGTTGTTAAAGGGTATACCATCGATAAACATGAAAAAAAGTCGACCTCTCCACTCTGGCACCGTATTTCATAAAATTATCTTGTTCAAATCACCATCAATTAGTTTGTATAATAAAATTACATTTCCAACAGATCTTTATAATATTAATGTTCTTGGAATGACTTGATTACCATTTCTAACCATTACTTCGAACTATTTAAAAACTCATTTTCATACAATATAAGCCCAGATCTATAACTCACTTCCGTGGAACGTTAAACAATTAGCACCACCTAAATTTAAACAAAAAGTTTACCACAATTCAAGTTACTTGAATCCACTCTTCATCCTTCATTTATTTTGCTCTCTTTCTAAATTGTCTTTTTGTATTTTTTTTTCTTTTCTTGTTAATATGTAGATTGTAGACCATCAAAATGTTGTATTAATTTTAGTTTACATACTATTAAACGGGTTAAGTCAAACGTGCAGTTTGTTTAAATGTGTAGACTTGCCCGTGAATATTTCAAGAGGTGCGATTTACCATTTTCATTACTAGGCCCCGTTCTGTTCAGCAGATAAACAGCAGTGTTGACTGCTTCGGCCCACAATCCTTTAGGTAAATCTTTCGCCGCTAACATTGTTCTTGCAAGTTCGACTACAGTGCGATTAGAGCGTTCTGCACATCCATTCTGCTCGCTGGTGTATGGATTTGAAACACTGAGGATTACTCCTTCAGATTTTAACAACATTGTCACATCTTTGCTGTTAAATTCTCCTCCACCGTCGCAACGCAACATTTTTAGTGGTCTTCCGCACTGATTTTTCACAAAATTCAAGACTTCAGCAATTCCTTTTGTAGTTTCTGATTTTTCCTTAAGAAATTTGATCAATCGGAATTTTGAGTAATCACATGTAAAGCAGATAAAATATCTCGATCCTCCATACGAAGTGATTTCCATAGGACCACATAAATCAACATTCATGACTTCACCTTCTCGTTGAGCACGTTGTTGTCGTAGTTGAAAAACCTTGCGATGCTGCTTACCTTTTACACATGCTTCACAAAAAAAATCTTGTTTGGTGTACTCGATTCCGTTACGGTTTAACACTTTTTCGACTTGTACTCTGTTTTGATGTCCGAGCATTTCATGCCACTCTTGAATTGATATTTCAATTTTGAAGTCACGTTTGTTTCTTTCGTATTACTTAATTGTAATAAACTATTCTCTGGTACTTTCACCTTCATTATCATTGTGAATAACTGACCAACTCGTCTACCCTTAGCTTTTGTTTTTCCATCACTGACGAAAAAGCACTCCTTTTGATTTGATTTGAACTCGTACCCTTTGTCTAAAGCTGATGTCACCGAGAATAGATTTCTACGAGCAGCTGGAACAAAGAGAACATTTAACATTCGAAAATCAAAAATTTTACCATCAACAAAAGTTTTAACTTCTACGACGCCTTTTCCCAACGCATCCATCGATGTCTTGTTTTCAATGTGGACCTTGACTGGTGTCTTAAATTGTTAAAAAGATGAGAACTACTCGCCATGATATGTTAGATGATCAGTTGCCCCCGAATCAACAATCCAAAAATCTTCGTCATTTTCCGCATTCAAGACTTCCGTAATGAAAGCGTTTTCTCCAGATTCCTTGTTGTAAAACTTCTGTTTACGATTGGGACAATTTCGTTTTATGTGATTCTTGCCTCCGCAACCATAACAAGTAAACGTGTTCTTTGTATTTGCACCTTTTGTAGTATTCTTTTTATGTGAAATCTGTGATTTGCTCTTATATCGACCAGATAAGTAGTGCTCCTGTACTTTCTTCTGATGCCTCGCTTTGTAGATGTCTTTGTTTTCTTCGCGATTCTTCGGATGTTAGTACATTCACCAGGTTATCAAACGTTTGTTGTTCGTCTGGTCTGGCCCACCATGCCTGCCGTAAGTTATCATAATTATCTGGTAGCGTATCCAAAAGTTTTACTACTATATAAAGACATGTCATCTTGTTTCACATTCAGTGCATTCAGCAGCTTATGTTTGGTCTGTTGCTCAAATATACTATGAAGTTTTATCCACATCTGCCTTGGTGTATTGCATGTCACCAGTAATGCCATTATTTTGGGTTCCAATGCTTTGACCAATGCTTGACTAGCAACTCTGTCCGCTTTATCCCAAATCTTCAGGTCTCTAATATATTCTGCTTTCTGCTCGGCAGTAGCTTCCTCATTCAGAGCCTCTGGCATTCTGAGATCTCCATTACATATCTCGTAAGCATTTGTATACGCTCGCAAAACATTCCGAATGGCGAATTTCCATACAGTCCAGTTATCAGTTCCTCTCAATTTTTCTATTCCTCCTCCTTGATGCTCTATAGTACTTCAACCGTGTTAACCTTTAAAGCGAACCACGCTCTGCTACCATGTTGAAACTATTAGAGCAATAAACTGAAAACATGTATATTGTATAATTATGACAGACGAACTAAATATTTATCGTATCATAGTTACAATAAATTGAATAAGGTAACTATATTTATTTCAACAGTTTTAAGTTAGACAGTACATTTGTATTCGTATACCAAAATTGGTTTCTGCGCAATCATCTTTTAGTTTTGGAACGATCTCATACCTTCACTGATATTTTGAAAAATTGACGGAGTTATTTCGTTTGTTTAAACTTTGAGCGTTCGGCATATGTTAGTAGGTAGGTACCTTTCATGATTACTAACAGTGTAGAGTCACGGCCTTCTAAGTTTTACAATAACTGAAATATTCATTTTTACCTACCTACTGGACATCTACTTTTTAAAAAAGTGACGAATTGCGGCTAAGCGACTCATTTTACGAATGTAAGTAATTTTGTATTACAAATAATACCATGCATGAAATATACTATTACTATTTTAAAGAGTATGTGTAATATATACATAAGCTCACACTAAAATTGACCAAGGAATTGAAATATGCAGTAATATACAGAGAGTTCCACTTAGAAACATGCAACATTGGTATAAATCACGCTTCAGTCCTTCAACATGCCCCCACAATTATTTTAAATATAACCTCATAAGTCATAATGTAATATCAACACATGCCATCAAATACACCATATACCATAGACCGACTACTCTAAAACCTGTTGAGATATGAGCCATCTTGCATTAGAAATGCATTATAGTAATTTCGGTAGGTAATGAGTAAACCTCTCTCCTTTGCCAATCAATTTCTTTTTGATTTAGGTAGGTACTTCTACCTGTTACACCCTCTATATATATGTTCATCGTCGTAAATTTTTAGTGCACGCCGGCGAATGGGCGAGATCCTGAAATCACTAGGTAAAGCCTGTATATCATACCTACGTCACGGAATCTAGAGTTCTGAATTTTTGTTATAAATGACTTTTAAGCACTATATTCAATTGTTATCACCACCTAATTAGCACCCTGATCCAATTGGCACCTACTTCTAAAATTGGCAAGAAAAAGATTTGCAGTTTTAGAAAGACTAATTTCTAAAATGATAGTTTGTTGTACGAATGTACATCCATTGATTCATACCACAGACTACAGTAAATGTATCTCCATACGATAACGGCAACACATTTTTACCGCTGTCTCTAATCCATAAAGTCTTTGATACACATTCATAAAATACAGAATCAAAATGGCGCAGCTCGATATATATATATATATATATATATATATATATCTCTACCTATACAAAATTGAAGTATAGGTTGAACGACCAAAACGCGGATCCTTCGAAAGTGTCTCCATGTAGGTATTAACAATTAACAGATATAAGCAAAGTAAGAATCTCTTCGGCAGTTAGGTATTTGATTGGTTACACTCTGTTAAGAATTTATAGTTTGTTAAACGTTTATGTTCCTTATTTACGATCACTGCAATTGTCTACTCACGTTGCATAAGTATGCGTTCCACTTCTTTACAGAATTATTGCTCACGAGTAATTAAAAATGTTTTCCTCAATTACACGTGAATTTATCTTGCTCTATTGGAAATTTTACTAGTACTAACTCGTTATACCTAACTTACCTACGCTTACGCAGTCCGAGTTATAATGATATGTTTACCCATCGGATTTACTTGTGTATGTACCTATAGGTACGCACCTACTCACCTATTCACTCAAAGTCACATCGTCATGATACAATCCAGTTACCAACTGTACTACACAGTACATTTGTTGTAATGGAATTTCTGAGACTTGGGTCTAAATCGCGAAACACATGTAATATAAAACAGCGTTTAAAAAAGTATGAAATTCATTTATTGGTCATCAGTATAATATAATTTTCTGTATTTTTTTGCAGACTTCAGGAAGTCGATGGAAGCTTCTTTGAGAGATTTGGATCGATACTGCATGAACGTTCAGAGTCTGAGAAAAAGAGGGATTACCAAAATCATGTACGAGCAACAAAAGCTTCTGTTCGATTTCTACCGCGCGCTTTCCTTCATCAAGATCATGAAGAACCGCAGCTACCCGAACCTCCCCCAGAAACCGAATCAGAACCTGAAATCGAACTCAATCAAGAAGAAATAAACACTCAAATTGTCATCAAAAATGTTAATAGAGAATTCTCATCTTCTTTGGATTCCGAGCAGGAGGAAAGCGATGAATCGCATTACTATACTGGGATGAATGTAAGTTGATCTTTGGTTGTTGCCTGTTGGTAGGTATATGTATCACTCCACTAACAACACATATGATCATTTTTCTCACTTGGTCGTAACTTCGGAAGCTTTAATGACCGTTTAAGCAAACTAAAAAATTAAGATCAGTTTAGAACCCATGACAACTCGAGAGGTTTACGGCATAGTTAACTATGTTGTCAGGCTAACAATGTTATTAAGACATGTGATTGGATGTTTTTTTCAAAGAATGACAGCATTTTTTGAAAAAATATCCAATCGCATGCCTTCACAACATTGTTATGCTGTAGTTATAAACTTATAACTATGGTTTAGAATACTCGCCGTTAGTATATTGCTCGAATTTTAGGGTGCAAATCGGCCGATGTTCTTCATTAGTATTTATCCTGTGGTGGAGATGGTTGAACAATTGGGAAATTTCATTTTTTACTTTGTCGGCCTTTTTCTCTCATGAAAATATAAAACTAGTGCAAGAAAAGCACTATAGGTACTAAACATTACTTTATATATGAAAATAGTAATTTCGGATGTTCATATATTTTGTTTTTGAGATATGACGTACTATTATTATTACGCTTCGTTTTTAATGAAAGGCGTTATGGCATTATTACAAATTTACAACATTGAAAATATCATTTTCTAATTTTGAACACACATCATTAATTAATTGATGTGATTAAATGTATCAATTTGCCTTCCCTACCGCTGTGGAATATTAAATATCTATATCTACTTGGGCGATCTAATTTTATCAAAATTTGTGAAAGAACCCATCAATCAATGCAAATTTGGCAACTTCATTTTAAAGAACTTCTATCGAAATTATGCACGTTCTAAAAATTTTGACCTACATATTTTCAGTGAATACCTATAGGTAGTTACACGAATTTTATTTTTAAAATTTATTTTGATAAAGCAGTACACGCAAGATCAATGTAAAGTGTAATAGTTTATTTTCATTTCAATAGGTACTTCAAGGGATATTTAATTGCAATGCACTGAATTAGAATCCCAAAGGTGGATAAAACAGGCAGTAGTGACGTAGCTGCCCAGGAATAGATTTGGCACAACAACTTTTTGAACTCAAGCATACCTACTACTTAGCAGTACATACTTAGTATTTACATCATCAGATGCATTTACTTTCATTTTTACTTATGCTTATCCAGAATCCACTTTTATTAAACCTTAAGCAGACGTGTTAATGTGCTTCAATTAATAATCGAAGAAAGTTGCTGAAATATTTAGTAATGAATGTTGAAAACCGGCTAACTAATGGCCACCAAGTCATTAATGATAAAAATAATGAAATGTTCAAATTTATCAATGATCAGTTAAAAATAAAGAATATTTTCTTGGGAGTCAAGAAAGATGACTACAGAAAAAGGAATTACATGTATGCCAATCTTGTCACTGTGAGTAAAATAAGTTGTACCTAATCGTATTTTGTCACTGCTTTAACTAAATATTGTTACTGAATGTAGTGTCTACAATTTTAGCCGTTGTCAAATTCCGTTTCGGTAACTCGGAGGGGGAATCACAATGACATAGTTGGCAACGCACCCCCTCCAACCCCCTGCGCCCCAGCCACCCCAACTTTTAAATCTTAAATAGTTGTTGGAAAGCTCTGAAAAAATGCTTTCCAACCATACCAAATAGGTTAGTAATTATTGTGCAAATCAAAAAATAAACTAATATGATACGTTTGAAATCCGACGTATTTAAAACACAACCGGCGAACATAGACGAACTTAGATAAAGAATAATTCAAAAATGTCGAAATATTGCAAAACTAACATTTGAAAAGGTTCGACAAGAGTTTGAGAATAGATTATACTACTGTCTTACCAATAACGGAAACTTTAGAAAATGGATCATATTTAGTTTATTTTTTGATTTGCACGATAATTACTAACCTAAATGTAATATGCTATTTGGTATGGTTGGAAAGCATTTTTTCAGAGCTTTCCAACGACGTATCACACATGGGGGGTCACTATTTCAGATTTAAAAGTTGGGGAGGCTGGAGCGCAGGGGGTTGGAGGGGGTGCGTCGCCAACTATGTCATTGTGATTCCCCCTCCAAGTTACCGAAACGGATTTTGATTTTTTTAAATATCTCGTTTATTTACTAAGACATGGGGGGCGGTAAGTTTTCAACCCTTATATGCCAAAGTGCTAGAGAAAGAAAGGTACTGATACCAGAGGCTAGCTTTCTTTGTTAGCCTTATTGAATCAGTAGTAACGGGCGATCAAAAATGAATGGCGGTTGAGTCGCCTTTGAAAGTTCAAGTTAAGTACAATTTCTCATGTAAACAAAAATTCCAAAGGTGACTCAACAGCAACTAATTTCTGATCGCATCGTAAGTACTATAGATTTATGTTCCTGATTTTGATTGTTGGAGAACAAGAGAGATGAATATGTGACACTCGAAATTATACGCAGGGACACAAAAAAGTCCAGGAATGGTAAATTACCTCCATTATAACTTATAAGTAAATGAACCTTATTCAAATTGGCTATGTGTACACTGTAAAAAACAAAGAATTTGTTGACTATGTCAATTTTTTACCATTTTCGGTTTAACCGATGATGGCGCTTATTACTAATTTTTTTGAATGTAACATCCCCATTGGGAATAGTAGCCATTTTGTCTGTTCATCTGTCCGTTTCTCAACACCAAAATATCTGCGCCTATTATAATACCTCTCCTGTCTCGCCTACTTTTTACTGGAAAGAATTATTGGTTTGAAATTTTTGTAACGATATTATGTAAGTAGCAATGGTGTCCTGATCTTACAAATTAAAAAATAATTATGTAAATATTTATTAATTTTAATATTATCTCCACATGATATACAGTGTGTAAAGCGATGGGGTATACACATTGAGTTAGAAAACTAATGGAGGGAATATATTGGTAGAGGGGGTAAGAATTTTTGTAGACGGAAGTTGCCACAGATAGAGGCCACTCGCGTGGATAGGTTCCCGTGAAGGTACATTTTGGCCGACATTATTTGACATATGAAAACGCGGGTCCTGTCACTGTCAGTTTTCCACCAAATTCAAATTTTATTAAATTTGCCATTTTAAAGTACCTAATAATTTCGGATCGGTTTGTGCTCTGGTTTATATAAATAACTAACTGCCGCATAGTGTTTTTATCACACGCAATTTTGTGAATTGAGAATGATTAGCTGTGTATCATACAAAATTTCTTATAAAGGGAAGAAACAGGGCATTTCCTTTCATCAGTAAGACATGTCATTTATCATGTTGTAGGCGAGATTGTAGGTACCTAGTTTATGTTTCTTAGTTTTCCAAACGAACCAGTACTTCGAGCAAAATGGTTACCTAACATTTGTAAATATATCTCAAGAACAGCTCTCGAAATTTGCTTTTGTGCTCACAACGCTTCATTGACTGTGATTTCGACCAAAGGTTGCACCGGAAAATGTTCATCAAATATCTCGTCAAATATGCAGTAGGTACTATCAAAACTTGTTTTTACAGCTAAACGTGTGAGTTTATAATATGGATATCAGGTGTAAATTTTTTTACTAGTGCGGATACATTTTGAGACCAATCAATTGTAGCTATTGATCAACACAGTGAATTTAATGGGAGTTGTCAAGTTGTAGTGGCTATAGTAAACTGGCCTTAATTATACTACTGGAACACATCGATGTATATTTAGATTTGTAATCAATGATTACTTTACTTTCCCATCCTTGTCTATTTTGTTTACTTTACCACGAGCATGTATTTTACTCCTTCTATACGTTTTTTTGTTAATATTCCTATTAGTGGAAAGAAAATTATATCTCTACGCCACTGAAGTGAGACGCTAATGATAACGGACGTGGTGTGGTACTTTAATCACAGCCAGAGGCTACTTTTGGTTCCCGTGGTCTACGTCTGGCCAAGCATTTGATTCCCTCTGTTTTCTAACGCAATGGGTATACAAGAGGGAATTTTTTTTAAATATTGATTTATGAAAAAAATTTATTCTTCATGATATTTTTTGCTTGCTTTGAAAGTACAATAACGTTTCGATTGTTTGTGGTTTGATAGCAATACGCTATCTTGATTTATGTAGAATGATAACTTTCAATAAAAAAAATTAATTTTATTATTTTTCCAGATTTCTATAGGTAAATAAATTTTAGATTATCGAAACGTTATTGGTACTTTCAAAGCAAGCAAAAAATATCATGAAGAATCAATTTTTTTCATAAATCAATATTTAAAAAAAAATTCCCTCTTTTATACCCCATCGCTTTACCATAGACCAAATACATATGGCTTTTACACGTACACTGTATATGTACTAAATCTATAAATACATAGGTACCTATAATATACATACCTACATTTATATAATTATGTTTGATAAAAAATAAGAAATATTATAAGCTTATAATCATTGCGGTTTATTAAGAATGTTTAAATCGGTTGAATCTCATGATTTGCGTAAAGCATCATAGGGATTTCAATGTAAAATTCATAACATGCGATTATTGGCTCCCCAAATTATTTTAGAGCAAAAATGTATTAAGGCTTTTTGTAGGAAAAATGTTTTTACGCTATTCAACCATATTATATTATATATAATATACAGGGTGACAATTTGAAAACTTACCACCCCCCATATCTTAGTTAATAAACGAAATATTAAAAAAAATCAAAATCCGTTTCGGTAATTCGGAGGGGGAATCACAATGACATAGTTGGCGACGCACCCCCTCACACCCCCTGCGCCCTAGCCACCCCAACTTTTAAATCTTAAATAGTGACTCCCCATGTGTGATACGTCATTGGAAAGCTCTGAAAAAATGCTTTCCAACCATACCAAATTGCATTACATTTAGGTTAGTAATTATCGTGCAAATCAAAAAATAAAAATGGAAAATCGTATTTAACTTGAACTTCCAAAGCCGACTCGACAGCAACTCATTTTTGATCGTCAGTTATAATCTATTCTCAAACTCTTGTCGAACCTTTTCAAATGTTGGTTTTGATATATTTCGACATTCCTGAATTATTCTCTGTCTTAGTTCGTCTATGTTCGCCGGGTTGCGTTTTAAATATGACAGATTTCAAATGTATCATATTAGTTTATTTTTTGATTTGCACGATAATTACTAACCTAAATGTAATGCTATTTGGTATGGTTGGAAAGCACTTTTTCAGAGCTTTCCAACGACGTATCACACATGGGGGGTCACTATTTAAGATTTAAAAGTTGTGGTGGCTGGGGCGCAGGGGGTTGGAGGGGGTGCGTCGCCAACTATGTCATTGTGATTCCCCCTCCGAATTACCGAAACGGATTTTGATTTTTTTAAATATCTCGTTTATTTACTAAGATATGGGGGGTGGTAAGTTTTCAAATTGTCACCCTGTATATGGTATTAGTTTTCAATTTTTTACATAATAAAAACGGAAAATTGGAAAAATAAAACCCGCATCTTTTTCAATAATCTGTGCTGCCATGGAATTTTATAATACAAAAACTACGCCAATATCCGTCATGCCATGGAATGTCTGCTATAAAACATCAAATTCTATCAAAAAGTATTATATTTAGAACGGCGAATTCAACATAAAGAAAAACCAAATTACTAAAAACGGTTTCCTAATATAACAATTCACAATAAACGTTCGAATAAGTCACCAGTAACTGCAAGACAGTAACCAAGTCGATCATAAAATCAATTTCGAACGGCTGCTAATTGATAATTGGATATCTTGTGACATTCTTCTTGAATTTTAATTCTTAACTCTTCAACATTTTCCAAAGTTTGCCCGGAATAAATTTTTCATAATTTTATTATTAAAACTTGTCAATAAAAATTCTCACACATCACGACTGTTGTGTGCAGGACAGCCATCCATTTGAAACCAAAAGTTTCCTGGTTGCCTCGTGCAACTTCAGTAGCAGCTGGAGCAATGTGTTCTAGAAGCACAATTTCCCGCGTAAAACCATTTCACCATTTCAATTTTCTCAGATAATGAATACAATTTTTATTTTATTTACCAAATTTTATGAACGAATTTTCTATTACAAGCAATATAAATGTGATATCAAAAATATCAGAAGGGTTACTTTTTGTTTTTGAAAATTCCATGGCATCGCTGATTATTGAAAAAGATGCGGGTTTTATTTTTCCAATTTTCCGTCTTTATATGAAAAAAATTGAAAACTAATACGGTTGATTGACGTAAAAATTTTGTCTACAAAAAAACCTTAATACATTTTTGCTCTAATATAATTTGGGGAGCCAATAATCGCATGATATGAATTTTACATTGAAATCTTTAATGATGCGCTATGCAAGTCACCACCCTGTATACATACTTCTTGGGGTTACTTCTATTATGTATGTAAATAAATGTATTAAAAATATGTTTTGTGTTTATTTAGGTAATATTAGTCTATCGCCAACCGTGTTCTATTTTCCAATGTAGGTATAACCACGTAATTAGTTTTTTTTATTGCAGATTGATGAACTGTATCTGGATGTTCTATACCAAATTCTTCATAATGTTGGCTGTGATGTTACGTTCGAATTGGGACAAACGGCCCTCCTTTCTTATGTACAAGATGCATTTAAGATGAGCAATGACAAACACAATCAATTGCTAATGGTGGCTCAAGAGAAAGAACCTCCAGAACTTTTGCTAAATGTAGAAATAGTAGAGGCTAAAGATTTAATAGCTAAGGATTCCAACGGTTTAAGCGATCCTTTCGTAACGCTATATCTGCAATCAAATTCCTCAAGACGTTACAATTCATCTGTAAAAATGGAAACACTAAATCCTGTATGGGAGGAACATTTCGCATTGTAATATTATCTGTAGCTTATGTGTGCTTGTCTCATTTTTATAGTTCTCTCTAGACCCGTAATGAACGACAGTAGTGACGATACACTTTTTATTGAGGTCTGGGATTTTGATCCAGCGGAAACTATGCGCGAAAAATTTGGTAAAATATTAAAAGTCAAAGGACTGCGAGGTGCAACTAGGCTCATAAAAGAAATGGCAGTCACAGCAACAACGGGGCAACATGAAAATGAATTAATTGGAACCGCCAGAATTCCATTGAAGGTAAATATTGTTCCATTTTTGCACCTATTTTGAAAATAGTGAATATAATTCATGTATAATTTTCAGACAATTCCTGCATCAGGTATGGTAATGTGGTACAGTTTAGATAAAAAAAATAAAACCGCAAGGCAAGGAGTTATTAAATTACATCTATCATTTGGATCAGAAAAAAATAGTCAAGTGGCCGCGCAAGAACACAGATATTTGTTGAATTTGTTACTTCTTCACGAACTAGAGACGTTACAAGTAAGTTTCCTTATGAGTTTATAGGTACAGGTACTCTAATTTATATTTCAACGTTGTAGGTTTCACCATATGAATGGGATGGAAAATTTGGATCGCAACCCGAAGCGATTATTACACAACATAGAATACAGTCTGGGCTTTGCCCAACAGAAATCGACTTTGTGAATTGGGCAGCGTATACCTCAGTTCAAAAAGAACATCCACTTAGCTTTGAACTTTATTTAAAATTGCTTATGAAAATTAGCAAACATTTAAGTGCGCCAACGCGTAATGAGGATAATTTTAAATTATTTTGGAGCTTTACTAGAAAATTGTTGCCATCCTGTATAGGTTTAATTCGCAAAGTGAGGAAACGACCACATGACAAGAAGACTGCTGAACAAATAATTGACGTTTTGAATATTTTGTTACAACTAATGTGCCTTGAACAACCTAAGGAATTTGATTTGTTTCCTTCAAACTTATATCCATGGTTAATTTCTTTTGAAAAGGAACAGATAAGCGGTATATCAAATGTGTTAAACGCCGCGGTTGTTAAAGGTGGCAAAGATTGGCTGCTGTTTATTCTCGAGCGCACTGAGAAACAAGACAATAGTGTGGACGAAACCCTAGTGTATTTTAATAAAGTTGTTCAAATAGTTCGTTCGGATTTGCAAAGAGCTGTGGAATATGATAAAATGTTTCAGAGGTAACGAAACAATGATTCCATTTAATATGAATCGTATAATATTAAATTGATTACAGGATAATGAATTTTGAATACGCAAAAACCTTGTATAATCTTTACCAACTCGAAATAGCCAATTTGATAGAGGAAGAAGTGATATCAATTTGTAAATCCTTGAAAACAATTGCTTACGACTGGAATTGTCTTTCACAGCCAGATTCTCACGATCATATGTCTTTAGGAACCAGATTATTTGAATTGTATCTTGCATTGCAGAGATTTGTGTGGTATGTAGATGAAGATATAAAAATGCAAATTACCAAAACCAGCTTTAGTTTAAGTACCACACTTTGCGCATCATATGAAGATGGAAATTATCGCATTAAAGATTGCCACACATGGTTTCAGGGAGGTGTCGAACAATGGTTGGATATTGCTGCGATCAAAGCTATGCAACGTATTGAAAAGGCGGTGGAATTGGATGACTTATCTCCTGTGGATGAAAGTGTTAAATATAGCTCATCGGCCTTAGATACCCTGACTATATTTCATCAAGTAACATTTTGCAGGGGTTTTCTTTAAAAATATTTCTAATATTGTATTTGTAGATAAGAATATTTTGGGATCAACTTAATTGGCCAGATGTAGAAAGTGCTTATAGTTTTGTAGCAAAAATTATTGACGTAAGTATTAAGCTTATTATTGCTCGGTCAATTCTACTATTTATTGTAAAGTGAAGATTTTATAGGAGCCTATAGCATCTTCCATTATGCTCACCTCTCTCCTATCCACTTAAAATAAAGTAAATGGTGCAAGAGGAGCGATTTTTGTAAAACGTATTCATCTGTTTTGTCCCAGAATTAATCAAAACTATTATAACCTGACCCTATATGCCCTCGCATGTATTTTTACTTTCGCGCTTGAGCGAGGTTATATACATGCCGTCAAATGTAAGACTCCAATTACATTTTACTGGTACTGTACTGGTTGCTATTGACAGTAGACTTTACAATCTTATTACTTACAATCCGAGGAAAATAATGACTTATCTGTCACATTTGACATTTGCACAATAATTCATCTACCGCGATTCCCTTAATCATTAGCGCGAAAAATATAATAAGCAACGCGGAATGTAGTTGCTATTAACCTTCTTGGAACTTCCTCGAAGCTTAATGCGCTACTTACATTCTTTGTTGCATAGCTATTATCATCTTTTGCTCTCAAATACCATATCAAACGTGTTTTATAAATCGCGTTGCTTTTAAAAATATGTAGGTGTACCTATCATGTTTTGTTGTAATATGGAACCTTTATTTTATCCCAGAATGATTAGCTGTTTGTTTTATCAATAATAATCAAATAAGTACTATTTTTGTAAATAGGTCTGTACCTGTTCAAAATGAATTCGAAACTATTGTCAACTTTGTTATTATTAGACCTACAAAGTATTGTTGTTTTTTTAATGGTAATGGTTAACGGATGTGAATACGTTAGCCAATGCTAAAACGCAGGCGGCTGATACTTTAGTCAAAAGAAGAAATAGGCCGGAATAAGTACGCTGGAAATTTTAAGCAATAATACCTCTAATTCATCTGTTTTGAAATTTAGTTTAGTCTTTGAGACGTTTGAGAGTTAGAAAGTAATAAAACGGGACGGATTTTTTGATAGCGTAACTTTTTTTAGTTATTGTACTTAGTTCCTTTAAGATATCACCTCACTGGTGATTAGGTGTTAAAATATTTTTTATTCATAATTGCATGTTTTTTACAGCGCGTTCTATTAAAAAAGGGCGAGTTTATTGAATATCTTGAATTTTTGAGAACCCGATGTGCACTTGTTTCTCTGATTTGCCGATTGCAATCGTGAGAAAAATTCGTTATATATTTATTACTTGAACCAAATTGTTCTATAATTTCACAAAATTTGACCAAAGTACCTACTTATGATCGAGTTTTGAGTTAAATTAAGTTTTGCTGTGTTGCAGGATTTATGTCGATGCTGCCTCTTTTACGCAGACAAAATGGCAGCAAAAGTCGACGGTATGGGTGATATAAGTGATAATTATGAAAAACGATTTGAAGTTACTAAGGAGTGGTGTTTGGCTATAAACAATATTGATTACGTTTGTCAATCCTTAAAACCCTTCACCGAGGAATTGCAGCTAAATAGTTTAATACAACAACTTGCAGACATACGAAATCCTGTAGAGGCTGAAAGGTGCAACGACACTTTGCAGAACGTTTTGGAAAATGCATTAGACACCATTCAAAATAAAATCGTCGAACTTTTGGAAACTGTGGCTACAAAGGTTTGTAACACATTAAGATGAAAAGCTCGCTTAAAAATTACCATTGCAGATGAGTCCCGCAATGAAGAAATTGTTAATTGAAGGCGCAGAAATTTTACACCAGGATAATAACAGTATTCACAGAGTGATGAGATATTTGGATAATAATTTGGCAACTTTATATGGAGAATTAAACGAAGACAATTTTAATCGAATCTTAGAAATCATCTGGAGCAATCTTGGAAATATTTTGTATGATTTAATACATTCCAATATTGAAGTAAGTACGTAAATTATATATGGTGTAATGTTCCATTTACGTTTATAGAAGCGCAGACCTCCCGCATTTTTCTCAAATCTTAGAGCTACACTACAGTTAATGGTCAAGAGTTTTAAGCATTCTGATGAAAATACTGATTCTGAAGTGTTAGCAAAAATAGAATGGCTATTGACTGTGAATGGCATGGAAACTAGTGAACTTATTCATCAGGTATAAATTTAACATCACAAGATCACTACCTATTTCTGTTACAATATTTGTAGGTTCACATCGAGCGATGGACAGAACAATTTGAAATGAAATCCTCCCCATATGGAGAGTTAACGGTTCGCTTACAGTTCCTAAATACTGACCTAAAAATAGAGATAATAAATGCGCGAAACCTAATTCCCATGGATTCTAATGGTAACATTAAATAAGGATTCCTAGAACACAAGCACATCAATTTATTTGTAGGCTTTGCCGATTCGTTTGTCCGAATTTGCTTACTTCCTGAAGAAAAATTTACAAACATCACAAAACCAAAAACCCAAACGCATAATAAGAATTTATTCCCTTTATATGACGAAACGTTTACATTGTAAGAGATGCTAACTAATTAACATCACTTCTACATTGAAGCTATTTTAAGGAATCTAACCTCCGATCAACGGAACTTGTCTGATGGCCTTATTCTGTTTTGTGTGAAGGATAAAGACTTTTTAGGAATGAGTAATCAGTTTATTGGCGAAGCTTTTGTTCATATAAAAGATATTCCTAGTTCTACAGGTAATATTAAGACCTTACCGCAAGTTCATCTTTACCTGAGTAGACCTTCAAATTTAAGTATGTTTTAGAATTTTAAATACTTAAGGTGTTGACTATGTATAATTTATAGCAACTGATTGCATTACCGCCTTAGAAAATCGACATGGAGACAAATTAGCTAAGGAATTCTTAAAAAGACTAAAGCAGAAGAGCAGTGGTAGTGCTATTTCCTGATCTTTACTTCCATTTTTAAAAAAGTATAGTAATCGTATGGAAAAATATGTAAATAAGGAAAAGAATAAAAAAGTGTGTGCTGGCAATAGTTTTGTAGACACAGCATAAACGTCCTTCATTTTACTGTGACGCTATCATGTAGATATTATAAATGTAGCGTGTATTTTGTAGATATTTTTTAATTAAAGAAGAAAAACGAACCTAGCCTACCTTATCTGTCATTTTGTTCGTTGTTCATTAAGTGTACCTGTGAATCCTACCCAATGTGCGAATAAAAATGTTGTTATCTGGTCTGTGATTATATACACCACCGAAAGTTCACACAAGCATATCATCTTTCAATAAAGTATAAAGAACAAAAATGGTTACTTGAAAAATTTGACAAGTACTTAGGTAACTTTTTATTTATGTTCTTTTTTCTATATGTTTAAACACATTGATACAGTTTACATTATTAAAAACTTATTTTTTTTTCTTTGAACTAGCTTCGAGTTTTTGATCTATAAGAAGCCTTCTTTTTTTGTTAGAAACACCAATATTTTTTTCCTTTCTGTTTTCTATATTTCCTTCGCTTACCTCTGTCTTTGCGGCAACACTTTCATGTTCAGTTCCTTGATTCGATATTTCTGGGTGTGTGGCCACTTTTTCTACAATATTTTCTTGATTATCTGTAGCTCCTTTGCTAATTGAGTTGGAGTCATCTATTTTATTTGTGTCTGTGTTGATGATGGGTATAGGTATTGGTATTGGTAATGGTAGAGGAATTATAATGGGATAGGGGACTAGGACTGTAACAGGAGGCATTAAATTTTCTAAAGGTGATGGTTTGATGAATGGTGGAGAAGGACCAGGTAGTAAACTAGGTTGTAAAATATGCCCTCGATTTTCTGGGAAACCTGGGTAACCATACATAAAATGATTCTGTAAATCATGTGGAAACTTGTGACGAAAGTTGTTCGATCGATATTCTTCTTTAAAGTGAATTGGCTCAAAGTTATTCATTGTTGATGTTTGGCGCACTCGAAGGTCTTGAGGCGCTTCCGGTACTGGCGAATTTCTAGATGACATATGGGTTGCATGAGATGAAGATCTTGTGCGCTTTCTGTGACATTTGGATTTCATTCTCTTAGATGATCTCTCCTCTTTAATAGAATGTGTTGTGTTGATAAGGGGTAGTGGAGAGGTTTGCTCTATGTTTTCTGAGCCCTTTGGTGAATTTGGAGTAGAACTGATACAGTCGGGAGATTTGCAATTTTTTAACCACATTTCCGGTGTGATAAGACCGCTCCCCATTTCTGAACTATCAGCAACATGTGGATGTAATTCTAAATGAGCTCTTGTTTCTCGACAAAAAATGTGCATTTTATATTGATTTAAACATTTATCGGAACAAAACTGAAGTTGAGAAGCACCATCCTTAAACATTTAAGATAATTTTTTACATAATAAATATTTTATTCTTACCTGAAAGTCGACATAGGAGACTGTATGTCGCAAATGCTTGCACCAATCACACATCCTGTTCCTCTTAAAACTTGCACGTCTTGATTGTGAGAAGCATAACTCTGAGCAAAATGTGGCCTTTGATGACGTTAATGCTTTGGTGTCATTAATATGCTTCCCACACCACTCACATTCATCTAGGAGCAAAATTATATATTATTATATATTTATTGGTGGTGTATATATAGACATATGTATGTTATTCCACACGTGAAAGTAAGATAGAAAAAATATAGGTAATATATGATTACTTTATAATAGGATCTGGCAACAAGGATTCTGGTGCAATTTATCAAAATTCAGTATAACACATAAGTTATTCTGGAGTGTAGTGCTACAGTCTATAGGTATTCAAGGTTTCTACACATGTTAGTCCGTGTTAGTCTTTAAATACATATTTATAGTTAGGTATTGATAAATGGAACAGTTTTTAAATTATTTCAGTTCTTTTGAAATTGTTGAAAAATAAAATAAATTCCCTTTTATAAGGCAATATTCATATTTTCAAAATTTGTTTGAATAAGGAATACGCTACACCTTGCCTAATATAGGTATGTCGCAACTGTTCAATTCATGACAAAATTTGCAGTGCCTCATACATTAGTTTTGGACATTCTCACCGCTAACAAATATGGGTGTAATCTTCATTGCTCAACTTCACTAGGCTACGGTTAACAACCCTTTAGCAACCATTAAAGTGAGAGGGTTCCGTTCTCATGTTTCTGTCTGTGCTCCGTCTACCCACTGAATAGCTTGCATGTCCAACCTTTCAAAAGTCTATTCGTATTAGTTTCCCATATAATCATATACCTCTTTGAACACTCTCTATACAAAATGAGAGATGGCAATAAACCAGTTACAAAATAGTATATTAAGTATTAAGGTCAGTAGGTGTACTTTACCGGTTGAGGATAATAATTGCAAACCGAGATTGAAATCGCCATCAAGCTTATGGTTTGATTATTCCATGTTGAAAAGTATGATTTTTCTAAGAAGGGGTGTTGATATTTCTAAATACAGTACGCTGATAGCATTTTTGAAAAGAAAGAACGTTGGGTAGGTATCAGCCAAAAAAATCTAGCGTTTTTTCTAAAGCAGATTTCCATAAATTTCTTACGGAAGCACCCGATGACACGTACTTGGTGGTAATGAGTTATTAACTAACAAGATTGAAACCGCTCAGAAAATTTTATGTGGAACTTCAGGGAACCCTTCATCATCTTCGTTGCCATCAACAGAACCTGCTATTTCATACCTCTATCGACTGCTGAGTGTGAAGAATCTGTAAACACCGTGTTTTCCAATTGCCTGTCTAATTCCCGAACTAATTTTTGTAACTTGCAAATGTACATTTAACTTCTACATTAATAAACAATAATTTGATTTTTGACACATATCCTACTTGTCGCTTGTTACTATAACTGTCACTTGGTTGCTAAGCACGTTGCTATGATACACTTACCGCCCTAGGTTGGTAAGTGCACCTTACCGCCTTGAAAATGAATTAGTAAGTAGCCGACAATAACCGATCGTGCAAAAAAATTATTAAATCGGTTGAAGATCGCTATCTATTTTTAGCGTATTTTCCTCAAACTGAAAAATCGCTATTGGCTGTACTTTGTCGTCCGTCCGTCCGTCACACGTACTCCTTTTACACCACTGAACCGCCGATTTGGGCGATATACGTCTCATTTGAAAGGCCTTAGTCCAATATGATTCTGTTGAAATCCCTTCGCGACCAATCTTGCTTTTATCAATTTTTCTTCGCCGATCTCCTTTTCTTTAAAGATTTAAAGAACTATCTCCCAGGTACCTACTGTTCTTTTCGAGAGCTTGTAATTCACTTTTGATTGCCTCTTCCTATCCGTTTCCTGTAGCGGATCCAAATTGTTCCTTCGATCCTCTGTCGGTATATGCAATTAGCATGTGCAGCCAAACACACGAATTTCGTTTAGGTTAGGTTTTTGGCCATACCATATACCTCAGCAGGTGTCCTTTTATCAGGCAAAGTAGACGTACGTAGGTGTACGGTTTATAAGGTAAACTGATGTTGCGATAGCCTCTTCCCACAAATGTTTTTCCAGATTCGATTTAAACATTAGACATGGTGCCTTGTCCAATACTGTACGATTGAATCTCTCTGCCACACCATTGCGTTTTCCGGAGTTCTAGGAAATCTGTACTCCAATTTCACACCCTTTTGTTTACTAAATTCATGGAAAATATATTCTCCCCCATTGTCACACCATTCAGGCAGTGTTTTAAATTTATTCTGCACCGAGGCTAGAAATTCCATTGTATTTTTCAAATGCCTTACTTTTATATTTAAGAAAGTAAACAACAGTGAAATGTGAATAATGATCTATAAAGGTAATGAAATACCTGTTTCCTGGATGTGAGACTGGATTCTACAACCCACAGACGTCACTGGATACACACTTAAGTAGCTTCTTCGCTTTTCAATCCGGCTCCAAGGTCTTGAAAGGTTTTCTGGTTTGCTTTCTCTGCAGATACCTACACTTCGCAGACTTTTGATGTCGGGTAATTCAAAGAATGAAGAATCTTTATCATTATTGTCCGTCACATTTGCTTCACCAAAAGTTAGTGAGAACAAATTTAAGATAGGTATACAGATTGCCTTCTACTTGTCCTTTTGCGAGAACTTGACCTTTTCCCTTGCCTTTTCCACTTCTTATGAAAATCTGACTATTTTCAAAGATGATCTTCATGCCTTTGGATTCTATTTTCTTCACAAAAAGCAGACACCACAGCCGTAACCCGAAATTTCTCGGGTAACTTCTTTGAGGAAAACTAATGGAAATTTCTTTTTCTTACTGCTATGACTCAAGAAACTGCTTGAACTTCCTGCGGCTGACTCTCCATCCATCTGTTTGAATCTCAGCTCCTCGCTTAGGTAACTTATACTTTTTACAAAGTCAAGTATTTAGATACCTTGCAGTTTTCCTGCGAAAACAATATATCGATGGCCGTGACTACACTTTGATACTGTGGTTCTGTGATCGCTGCTAGCTGTTGCGAAATGATTTCTATGTCATCATTGTCATCCATTTTACCTCCTGCATTTTTCAGCTGAGCCACTGTCTTTTCAGTAGTCAGAGGCTCCGAGTGAGGGGGGTGTACGCAATAAAAATGCCGACTTCAATAAAAATTCAAAATATACACGTACAACATTAATCGACGGCATCTTAACGCTGCCCATTGTGACACTATTTTTTCCAACTGTATACTGTCAACTATATCTTTTTCTGATTATACATATAAATACTAAAGTAATAATAATCATTATTATTTTATGATAATTGCGAGGATAATTGTCATACAGAGTGCTCTTTTTTCGCGACTCATCATGGATATGGATTCTATTTGCACCGAGTCGAAGTGGGACGTCTAGAAGACTTTTTCGGAGGAATTTGATGAATATATGGCCAGAATGGCATAGGACTTTTTTTTTGCTTTGGGGTCGCCAAATTTTATCTTATGATCTTTCATCAGAGTTATTTTTCTCTGACGTGCCATAGCTTTTAATTTACTTTGATTTTACCAAAATACCTTATTATTCAATTTTCACGACAGCGCTTTAGAAATTGCATTCAATCTCATTTGCTTTGGTATTTTACATTTATAATTAAAATAATTAATAAAAATATCGTTTTAAATGTAATAAAGCGTTTTTTTGGCAAGATTTTATTAGATATTATTATAAGTTAAAAGTAGTAGGTAATCTATCCAAAAACGATTTTTGTCTAAAAGACACTCTAGTGACAATTGCATAATTAAGTGTTATATTTAAAATGTAATATAGAAATCCATAGTAAATTCTTTAATAAAAAAATAAAATCTAAAAATACAATGTGACCCCCCCTACGTTCAAAACAAATTCCTCTTATTAGAAAATAATGTCATAGTCTAAACCGCCCATTTCTTAAGTACGTATACTCGTTTTTTTAAATACAGAATTATTAAAACGCAGAATTCAGTTCTTTTTAAGTATTGTAACTAAAAGAATTATCCTACAAGTGGTTTCAATTATTGATTCGGATTTAAATTTAACTTTACCCAGAGATCCCATCGTCAGGCGCTAAAAATGACCACCCTGTATGCTTATCTACCATCTATCCCTATAGCAACTTTTAGACCCATGCAAACATAACGGCTAAAAAAATTTGCGTAACATTTTTAAGCAACCTTTAATCATGAAAGGCAGTGGTGTAGTGAACACTGCTTGTGAGAGGGGAGCGACGCTCCGGCACAGCATAGGAGACGGAGATAAGATAACTGATGATAACTGATGATATTTGCGACTTAGATAAAATTAGTGACTTTGGTTAACACCGTAAATGAAAGGTCTGTAATATGGTGTTTGTTCATAACGTTTAATAAACAAATAAAAAGCCAACCGTAAAAACAAACTTGAATTTTTTTTATTTTTTGCACCTTTAGAGCAATAATTTATTCAAAAATCTACGAACTGAAATTGTTTCAAAACCCATTTATTGCACTGCAAATTTTTAAAAATTTTCCTGGACCCCAATTTTGCTTGGGGGAGGGGGGTGTATTCGATACCCTTGGTTGCCTGCATTTTAAGGCATTTAAGGAATTAACCAGGTTTGCCGAGTAGAAAAAGAGAGTGGTGTCGCGTCTAGTGTTGATTGTATCGTACTCGACTGCAATCGGAAGATTCAGGAAAAGTCGCGGATACTGTCGATACGGAACTTACTTAACAGTGCGCAGGGGTTTTGTTAATTCAAATTGAAAATTCTCGCAGTTCTCGCACATCGCCCATGATAGTATTACAAGCATGTTACCCCGTTTATTATTCAGAAAGTTTGCGTTTGCGACACGAGCGAGTGGAGCAAGATTATTCCGTGTGAATAAGGGTTATTTATGACTTTATAGGTTATACGGTTATCATTTCCAATGTCTCCGATGATTGCAAGGATTGCAAAATCTGTGAATTTTTTCCAATATTAACACTAATTTCATGTTTTCGACGATAATCATCGTCAAAGTGGGTACTTACCAGTTACCAATCACATTCAAACTTAATTCTTTTACGTTTCGATTTTGTGAGTCTATTTCATTTATCAGGATACAATGAAAACGGCAAGTGTCACGTTTGATACCCTCGTTGATACCTAGTTTGATACTAATGACTATGACTGAGTGAGTATGACGTATTGACACAAAAAAAGCACGTTTGAAAAGGAAATAAAATTCAACGAACATTATTAATGAGTCATTGAAAATTGAAAAGCATTTAGTATTTTGCAAAGAACTCAAAAATATTATTTTACTATACAGACATACAGTAGTAAACCTCTCGCCAGGAAAGATTGCCGGTCATAGAACACTTGATCCCGGTCTGCAATCTATGTTTTTCTAAAGATGTGAGCGACTTCCGGGATAGTATCGTGTCAATGTTGAACAAAAAGACTTTTCGTTCAACATTGGCACGATCCTATTCCGGAAGTCGCTCGCATCTTAAGAAAAACATAGATTGTAGATCGACACAAGGTGTGCTGTGATCGGCAATCTTTCCTGGCGAAAGTTATACAGAGTGGCGCAACGAGAAGTATACAGAGGGCTTTTAGGGTATTAAATTTAGAAATTTTGAAAAATCCTCGAACACGTCAATTTTGTATTCGAGGGGGGCAACTTTTGGAATACAAATCACGAACCCAAGTCTTCACCCCTCTACGTAGGGAGCTTAACCCCTAAAATTTTAAATGGAATCCTAAGGCAAATGGCACATTATTTGAAAGCCAATTTAATCGTGATACTAATCTGCTTTGCTTTTTAAATTCTATTGATTCGTTTCGGAGATATTCGCATTTATAATACAGGTAGTACCGTTGATGGTCTGTGGTAGTACCGATCAAAATGTATCAAATAGGTATTTAGTCCAATCAAATTACGGTTTGGACTGGATGTTGTCACTTCACTCAACGACACCAATCGCATCCTATGTAAAAAAATTCGCTGAATCCGAAAATCATAGTCCCCCTGGCCGGAAACGCCCGGAACATATTTTTATAAACAAAAAAAGAAGAGAAAATGGGAAAATGTTGTGTTTTTTCACATTTGACTTCGAATATCTCGTTAACTATTGCTCGGAGGGAAAAATGAATAGAAATGAACTTGTTTAGAATAAAATTTTCTATAAGATACAGTTGGTCCAGAACGCTCATTTTCAACTGTTATTGTTATTTATGGAAAAATGTAAAAAGGTAATCTCGAAAATTAACACTTTATTATTACTAAGTAAAATTCATCTGATCTTTTTGAAAATCCGTATTTAGTAACTTCTTTTGATAACAAAACAATATGACAAACCAGATCACCCACC